CCTGGCCTGGCCTCAAACTCACAGAGACCCCCCTGCCTCTGCCTCCCGAGTGCTGGGATTAAAGGAGTGTGCCACCAAGGCCCTGCTCCAAAGGTCATCTTTTCATTTTATTCTTAGCAGTATGTTTTATTCTTACCATCTTCTTCCTAGAGCCATAGGCTTTTATTGATATACAGATGATAAAGGAATGTCTGACCAATTCCATGTTAAATAATGGACAAAGTAAGATTCCCAAATTGACAATATAAGCACAGCTAGAATGACAATGTATGTTTTGCGAAAGACCATTGTTCCATATTAACTGAAAACAATGATTTAAAAATGAGTTTATTCATGTAAGGTGGGGTTCACCTGCAACCTGAGTTTTCTGGGAGCCTGTAGCAGGAGATTCAAAATATGGAGATTATCCTGAGCAACATGAAGAGAGTGTGTGTGTGTGTGTGTGTGTGTGTGTGTGTGTGTGTGTGTGTGTGTGTGTGTATTTGAAGATATGTTTTCAGTTGTAGAGTTACCATGAAGTTGAAATGTGAAAACAGCTCATTCCTCAACCTTTGCCTCTTTGTTGCCTAGAAAATCTTTGGCTCCAGCTATCCACTCAGCATCGCCTTCATTGTGGTGAATGAATTCTGCGAGCGTTTTTCCTATTATGGCATGAAAGGTAATTCTGTAACCCAGAGTCTTCTCTGCCTTATATTTACAGAAGCCTGGTTCCTTACTTGGACTTGTTTCCTTTGCCTATTCTTTCTGCCTTGGTATAAATCAATCCTTCTCCCTGTCCATGATAATAAATAAGATTTTATTTAATAACTCATGGCGGTTAAGGTCAAAAAGGCCTGCAGAACCAACACACAGCCAATGAAAGCGCAAGTGGAAAAGCTCTCCTCATTTAAGTTCCATTGAACTATTTTTGCTGGGAAGAGGAGGAGGAAGGGGTATGGGAAGTACCATGTTAACTTCTCATGGTCTAAATGATGCTATGGGTGCACAGAGATTGAAGGCATGAGTATTGTATTTGTGTATCCAGCATGCCTCATTTACTTCATAGTTACCATGGGCCTTGCTTCTACTGCCCAGCAGTCAATTATTTCACTAGTAGGAGTGCTGAATGCCAGGATCACCTATAGAGCCCTGAAATCAAATCTATTCCTCTGTAAATCATTTTTATTGCATCTCTCTTATTTTGTCTCCCATTTGTTTTCTTCTGCTTCATCTCAGCTGTGCTGACCTTATACTTCCTGTATTTCCTACACTGGAATGAAGACACCTCCACAGCTGTGTACCATGCCTTCAGCAGCCTCTGCTATTTCACCCCCATCTTGGGAGCCGCAATTGCTGACTCGTGGCTGGGAAAATTCAAGTAAGGACAATGGTAGTTTACAGCCTCAGGAGCCTCACAGGTTCATTGTCCAGAAAGTTACCTACAGCTCCTAACTTTTTACCTTCTAGCAAAACAACAACAACAATAACAAAGACCAAAAACAAAACCAAAAAACTCATGGGCTATGACAAATTTGTATTTCTCCAAGAGGGAAAAACCAAAAAATCTGTTTTTTCCATCCTCATCCCCCAATATTTTCACATCCTTTAGTCAAGAGTTCTTTCTTAAAATCTAATTTTAGTCTTCTACTCTATAGCTTGTGACTGTATCTTGTTTTATCTCAGTGAGAGTAAAGATTGTTACCGACTGGCAATTTATATTGGTAAAGGCTTACTATGATTATTTAGTACTTTCTTTATGTCTTCCTCAGGCTCCATCACCTCACCTCCTTCAGCATCTTACTGCTCTTTCTTTTCAGAGGCTTTAAAATATCTGTTTACCTTCACCTCTTTCTGTAGTTTCCTTCTTTAGACTCTAGTAAAGATTTCCACAAGTTAAAGTAGTAGTCCGATTAGTTCAGCTCTTCTGTTCCTAAAAATAGAAGCAGCAGACATAGTATAATGGTATAGTTGTCCTCTATAACATTTTGGTATTCACTGCTTAGTAATATAATATTCTGTAGGTTTACCATTCATGGATTTGTCTAAGTTAGCATTTCTCAAAATATATTCCTTTAAAAACTTGATTGTAAGCCAGGCGTTGGTGGTGCACACCTTTAATCCCAGCACTTGGGAGGCAGAGGCAGGTGGATCTCTGTGAGATCGAGACCAGCCTGGTCTACAAGAGCTAGTACCAGGACAGCCTTCAAAACAACAGAGAAACCCTGTCTCAAAAGGGAGAGAGAGAGAGAGAGAGAGAGAGAGAGAGAGAGAGAGGAAGCTAGTTTTAAGCCGGGCGTTGGTGATGCATGCCTTTAATCCCAGCACTCGAGAGGCAGAGGCAGGCGGATCTCTGTGAGTTGGAGACCATCCTGGTCTCCAGAGAGAGTGCCAGGACAGGCTCCAAAGCTACACAGAGAAACCCTGTCTCAAAAAACAAAACAAAACAAAAAACAAAAACAACAACAACAAAAAACTTGACTGTATGAGATATAATGAATTATGGGAGAAAATAAAGCTTCTATGGCACTTGTTTAGAAAAAATCCTAAGTTGTTTTGCAAACACTGAAAACACTGAAAAATGTTTCCTTACTGTATAACTTCTTTTAGTATCCAATAAGTTAATATACACTGTAAAATTTCCAAGTGAAAGTTAAGTATGTATTGTTTCCTAAAGTAGTTTGACAATGTGGTATTGTATTTGCAGACCTAGTGTTTTAAAGAACTTGTCTTTGCTTCACTTCTGTTGCTATGACTAATACCCTGACAAAAAAGCAATAAGGAGAGGAAGAGTTTTATTTGGCTTACAATTATAAGTTATTGTCTTCATTTTTGGCAAAGTCAAGGCAGCAATCCAAGCAGCTAGTCACATCACTCCCCCAGTCAGGAGCAGTGAGAGAGTAAACTCAACCCTGCTTGTTTTCTTTCAGCTAACTTTTTCCACTAATATGTTCAGGACCCCTGCCTAAGGAATGGCACTACCCACAGTGGACTATGTCTTTCTACATCAATTAACAATCAAAACAACCTCCCTCCTATAGACATGTCTAAGGCCAAACCAGATCTAGGTAATTCCTCAATAAGATTCTCTTCCCAGAGCTGGGTGTTGGTGGCACACGCCTTTTATCCCAGCACTCTGGAGGCAGAGGCAGGCTGATCGCTGTGAGTTCAAGGCCAGCCTGGTCTCTAGAGCGAGTGCCAATCTAGTTTTGTCAAGTTGACAGTTAAAACTAACCACATAAACACTGACCTCTGTCTTAATTTGCTATATTTATGTACACACACACACACACACACACACACACACACACACACACACACACATTCATGTATGTGAAAAAATAAATGCAGTCTCTCAAGAGAGGCATGGTGGGTAAGTGGCTACATTTGTTACTTATGTAGTAGTAGTCATTGAATTCATTCAGCTATGGATTGGCATTACACAACACAAAGACTAAAAAAAATACAAGCTATGTTTTTTTCATTCAGTTATAGAATAAAGGCTGACATTGCAGTTGTATTTTTAAAATAACTTCCTTTGATATTGAAAAAGTTCAGCTTCAGGATTTTGTTGAACAATAGCTTCCTGAATATTTTGGAGGAAATTTAATACTCTCTACTTGTACTCTTAATCCAAAATAAAAACAATTTTATTTTACATACCAATCCCAATTCCCTCTCCCTCCCCTCCTCCCCTTCTCTCCATCTCCCCATCCCACCCTCCATCCACTCCTCAGGGAGGATAAGACCTCCCATGGGGATCATCAAAATCTGTCACATCATTTGGGGCAGGACCAAGGCCCTCCCCTGTGTATCTTGGCTGAGAGAGTATCCCTCCATAGGGAATAGGCTCCCAAGGTCCATTCGTGCTTTAGGGATAAATACTGGTTCCACTGCCAGCAGCCCCACAGACTGCCCAAGCCTCCCAACTGATACCCACATTCAGGGGTTCTGGTTCATAAACCTACTTTCTGAAGTGTAACTTACATAAAAGTACACAAATCCAGAAGACTTGTGTATACAACTTGAATTTTTACAGAGGTATCACCATTGCCTCAACTACCTTTTTTTTTTTCCAGACAGGGTTTCTCTGTGTAGCTGTGGAGCCTATTCTGGCACTCTCTCTGGAGACCAGGCTGGCCTCGAACTCACAGAGATTCGCCTGCCTCTGCCTCCCGAGTGCTGGGATTAAAGGTGTGTGCCACCAACGCCTGGCTGCCTCAACTACTTTCTTTAGCTTTCAAATTTTCACTCAGAGCTGGAATCTTTTCCTGTACAAAAATCAGGTACAAGTCTCTAGTATCTCCAAACAAACGAATAAAAATCTTGATTTTTTCCTATTTATTTTCTCCTCTAGCCACTCTCACAATTTTAAATCAACATCTCTATGTTAGTCACTTTTCTCTCTCCATCATCATTTCTTATGACAGAGTAATATAATTCAGTGTAAGAGAACACAATTTAGCTCAATCTGATCCAAATTTAAATGTTTGCTGAACATCCCTTTTTTTCCAATTAATCATGAGCATAAAGAGATGAATAATACATAATATGTATACATATACATAATTGTTGAAGTTCAGACAGCTTTAATAAAAGCAAATTGTGGAAGCTTTAATATGAAATAGCATAAATCACTTATTTTTCCTACTGAAATTTCTCAGAATACTGATAATGACTTCTGTTAACAAATGATAGTGGCCATTTCTAGATTCTTGTTCATTCTGAACTTATAGTTTCACTAATTCGGCCTGTTTATCATTCCTAAATTTTTGAAAATTCCTGGCCTTCTCTAACACTGTGCTTTCTCCTTCTCTTTCATCTTTCTGGGTTGTTTTTAGACCACCTCCAGTTTTGCTTTTCATTTACTTAGCTCTTTCCTAAATGTCAGATTTCTACCAGGTGCTAATTCTCACTATTCACTTTCTCCAGCCTGACTGCCCCTTAACAGGTCTGGAGGTGTGTGGTTATCTATAGATGGCTACTCAAGAGTGTTGGAATGTTCAGATTCATCATGTGTTTATAGCTGTGTGTTTCTTTGCAAGTTGGCTGTTCTTTATCCTGACTTCCTTATGTCCACACATTGAATCCACTATGTGATTCTTCAAATTTTAAGTGTACAGTATCGCTTACACCCATCTTCTTCAATATTAAAACTCCAACCGCTATCAGTTGTCACCATTTTGTTTTTATTTTCTTTGTCCCTAAACTGGAAGATGGAAGGGACACCTAAAATGTTTTCATTGTCTTTTTTTTCCCCTATAACTGAGTTTATGCACTGTTTTTTAAAACATAATTGAGTCTGAGAACAGGTATGAATAGTAATGAAGGTGATTTTTATTTACTTTGGGACTTGTCTTTTTTAAACAGCACAATTTGAGGAATGCCTTGATTCTTTTTCAGAAAGGGGGTGATTTAAAATTCGAATAATTTGTCCTCCTGTGAACATATGTATGTGTGTGTAGACAAACATGTGAGAGCCGGTATACACAAATAGAATGATGATTACAATCTGGTGGATATTGCCTTCCATCATACTTTATTCCTGGTTTTTAAAAACTGGAATTGGCTCTTCTTTCACTTTTTAAAACCTGAAGTGGCAGCCTTGCCTGAGTGAAGGAAAAAGGAATATGTTAAAACTTGTTTCTTTTCCTTTGTCTCTCTATATCTCTGTTTCTGTTTCCTGCTTCTGTCAACTCTCCTCTTTTTCTCCTTTTCCTCCTGCCTTTTTCCGCCCTCACCTCTTTCTCTCTCTCTCTCTCTCTCTCTCTCTCTCTCTCTCTCTCCTGTACTTTTTTCCAATGTTATATTTGTTATATTGGAGGTAGAAGACTTATTTGGAAGATGGTTTAAACATTCAAGGAATGATTTTATGAATTCAGTTAACAACTACCCTGCATATTAGCCTGGAATCCAAGCTATACAATAGGAAATGGGCACCCAGAATCCCCAACTATTATATAAGGAAATTGGAAGATTTAGTTCAGGCATTTTTATGGTATGTGTCTGTGTAAGAGAATACCATATGTGTGTGTGCTTACAGAGGCAGGGGGCAGGCATCAGATCCCCTGGAGCTGGAGTTACAGATGGCAACAAACCACCAAATATGATGGGATCCAGTCTCTGGAAGCACTAAGAGCTCTTAACCATGGAGCCATCGCTACAGCCCCATTCTGTTCTTTTCTCTCTAATGATTTAGCAACCACCCTCTCCTCGAGGTCCATGATAACTAGTTTTTTTCCCAGTTTCTTTTTATTCCCTTTCTTTCTAATTGTTCCTTTTATTTCAATAAAGATCCCCCCAAACAAAGACGATTAGGCATTTAGAATGAGGAATCCCCAAGCTGAGTTTCTGGGACTTTTAGAAGCTTTCTGGTTCCTTCATTCCATTCTTTATATTCAAAACCAGCATAAAACACTTTTAAAATGATAAAGACAAACTATATAATTCTGAAGGTTTATTATAGCATTAACATTCTACCTATATGGTAATATACATAATATACATTCCACTTATGATGGTAATACATACAAAGAATATAATCGATATTGTGCCATGCCAATGTGTAGAGCTCTTCATATGTTCTTATTGGAATTCCTTAATCTGCTATTTATTTGATATTCAAGTTCACTGGAAAAAACTCAAGAGGTAGAGGTTTTTTCCCAAAAAAATTTTTCATGATTTTTATTACCAAACATCTTAAGTCCTTTGTTCTTCCCTATTTTTGGCAAATTATCCATGTGGAAACTGTCCTGGGGTTACCGTTAGCCAGAGTGTTCAAATTGCCAAGATTGTACCTAAAAATCCCTTCACCTTTCTGTACATCTCAGTGCTTGTTTAAAGAAAGTCCTTTGTTTTAGCGTTCCTATGTACTTGGCACTCATCTTTCACTCCTCTTGCCTCCTAGAGCTAAAAGACATTGCTTTAGAAGAACAGCAGGTAGAGGCATCCTGTTCTACTGATTTCACTAGTTGAAAACATCCCCATGCTTTCTACAAACCCACCTTGTTCTTGTCACATCTGTATAAAAGTAGGGTTGCCCTGGGAATGCAGAACAGAGTCTAGATCTGGGAAGAGAACTCAAAGACATGTCTGCAACCTCCACGTAAATACTACACGGTGCAGAGTTACACTCCTTTCCCTCCTCTGTTTACCCCATTCACCATTGTTTCTCCCAGTTCAATCTTTCCTCCTCCACCCCCTCCTCCACCTCCTCCTGTGTTTACTGAGAACAGCTTGACCCCTGACTGTATTATTCACGTCTCTGAACAACACACTCACTGATTTGACTTTCTTCACAGGACAATCATCTATCTCTCCCTGGTGTATGTTCTTGGCCATGTATTCAAGTCTTTGGGTGCCATACCAATACTGGGAGGAAAAATGCTACATACGTGAGTAAAATCATGGGACCAATGCTTTTCTGACATCAGGCAGGTGCATGTCTCAGAAAGTCACTGCAGATGGCTTTCTATTTTATATCAGAGATTCTCCTTTATTTTCTAGTGTATAATTTTATTGCCAAGCTTATTAAAATATAAGGTTTTATGAGCAATCAAACTTTTTCCTACATTACCAGGTCTCTTTTTTTTTTATTAAGTAGGCATTTGCAGACACTTAGAATGCCTAATTAGTGTCCTTCTCATAAAAACTCATTTGCTCGAAAATAAGAAAACCTTTTATACCTTCTGTTTTCTTTCACTTACTCATCTAACTATGTATCTTTACACCATTACAAATTTTAAAAGTATTTACTTACATTATAATAAAAGTGACATTCAAACTTAAGGTATTTCTATTTGTGTGTAGTCCTGGATAGTCCATTTTACTGTCCCACTTTACTTCAAGTATTGGTGTTTATAGAGCAGAGATATTTAATAGATTTTAATATATATAATCAATTTAACATACTCAGACACATATATACATTCTGGATTGAAAATTTTATTTTATTTGAAAAGTAATAAGCATTAAATACCTTCTTATTACTGCTCCATAAAACTTGTTGATGCCATTCCTATTTATTATGATAAATTTTAATATTTTACTTTGTAGTTAGTAAAGGTATGTAAGGTTAGAAACCTGAAAATCTTTCAATTGAATTGCTAAAATAGTATTAAAAGCTAGTGTGCTCACTTCCGAGTCCCTGCAGTGTCTTCTTCCACTTGCTGCATATAAAGGATAAATGGAACTACCGTGCATAGAATGTTTTCAGGCAACAAAATTTCTAGCAGAGGCTCAAATATGAAGATGATAAATTTTCATGAGTAGTACTTGGATTGAAGGCAAGTAGAAAATACACACAAAGTAGATGGGCAAAAAAAAGGTATTATCTTTAAATATTTTTCTCATATGTATCTTTAGAGTCCATCTCTACAGTTGGTTTGGTATCAACATGGTTATATTATCCTTACCTCTCCATTTCAGAATCTTATCATTGCTTGGCCTGAGTCTAATAGCTCTGGGAACAGGAGGTATCAAACCCTGTGTGGCAGCTTTTGGTGGAGACCAGTTTGAAGAAAAACATGTAAGAATCTTCTTAATTTTGTATTTCAAGAGTGTATAGCCAGCATCAAAATGGAGAACCTGTAGCCATCTGCTAAGACTGAAGTAATTCCACTGGTCTAGTCCTGTCTGGAGAGTTGAACACTGCACTGGACATTGACCATTATCAGAGAGAAAACTAAAGCTTGGTTAAAGGAAAGTAACGGTGGGAGGTGGACATGTATATGATGAAAGACGGAAGAAATCGAGGCCATAGAGACTAAATAAGCCAAACAGCAAGGGAGCTTGGATGTGGCTCAGCTGGTAGTGTACTTGAGTAGCATCCACAGAACCCTGTGTTCAGTCCCCAGCAAAGTATAAACTGAGTATAGTGGCTCATACCTATAATCCCAGCATTGGGGAGTGAGAGGCAGAAGGATCAAAAGTTCAAGGCCATCCTCAGATACATATCTATTTCAAGGCCAGCCCAAGATGCACAAGATCCTGACTCAAAACAAAATGCAAAGGAACAAATAAAACCCAAGGAAAAAATTACATATAGCTGCTCATAAATATTGGGGGTTGACCATGTTTAAATCTGAGCCCAAGTAGTGAAAGCTATAGGAAATCAGGTGCTTGCTTCACTGAAGGGACGATTTCACACAGGATTTGGAAATAGTGACCTTACTTTCACTTGAGGTACATAACAATTGATGTGGTCAGGATCTAATGAGATGGTCACATACCATGGAAGCACTATCTGAACCTGTTTGTGTGTACCTTCGTCTGAATTTGAACATTGAGTGGAGTGGAGCTAAGAGACACATTTCTCTGATGATCTGTCTCATTCCAGGCAGAGGCACGGACTAGATACTTCTCAGTCTTCTACCTCTCCATCAATGCAGGGAGCTTGATTTCTACATTCGTCACACCCATGCTGAGAGGTTAGGATTCCTTCTATGGAGCTTATGTGGGTGGCTTAACTCTGGCCAACCAAAAAGCTGTTGGCAGCTGCAGGTGGTCCAGTTTCTCCTTTCGTATGGGCTTATAAATATATGAGAGATTCTTTGAGTTTTGGTTTGTCTGGCTTAAAATAAGGGTTATGGGTTAGATGATGGGAAGAAAAGAGGGTAGCTATGTCTGCACCAGGAACCTGACCTAGTAGAGTAAAATATGATTTATAATTCATCATTGCTTTCCCCTCTGTTTTCTTCAGGAGACGTGAAGTGTTTTGGGGATGACTGCTATGCACTTGCTTTTGGAGTTCCAGGATTGCTCATGGTAGTAGCTCTTGGTGAGTATAGTGGGAAAAGGAAACTAACCTGCTACATGGAAGGCATCATGTAGGCATTTTACACAAACTATTTCATTGAACTTCTACACTAACCCTATTAGGCAGTGTTATTGTAGTGATTTCCTTTGATTTTGAAGAGAAATTATGAATGGTATCATAAATTATTTATCTATTTTTATTGTCTGCATACCAGTATATGTTTGTGTACCACATGTGTGCTTAGTGCCCGTGGAGGCAAGGAGAGGGCATTAGATACTCTAGAACTGGATTTACAGACAATTGTAAGCAACCATGTAGGTACCAGGAATCTAACCCAGGTCCTCTGAAAGAGGAACGAGTACTCTTAATTTCTGAGCCATCTCTCCAGTCCCATAAGCTATTTTTAAGTGCTACAGCCACATAGTTAATAAATTCAAAAGGAGCTTTTAAAAACCCCATCTTTGGTGCTCATGTAGAACTGCTGATCAGGAGTTTGAGTACCTAAAAATTTTAAATATCTCAGGTGATTCTTTTAATTTTTTTCCACCTGCCTCTGACTCTGGATTGCTGAGATTAAAGTGTGTACCACCCAAGTTCTCAGGTGATTCTCTAGTATAGTCAGGATCAAAGCCCAATGATTATTGCTGAAACATGCAAGGAAGGAAAGAAGAAAATTCAACCTCTATCTCTAACTAGTTTATGTTATCTGACACTTATTTTTCTGGTAAGTCAATGCCACTTTTGATTACCTGGGCATTTTAAAGTAGCTTCCATTATTAGCTATTTTTTGCTCTGCTCTCCAAAGGTCCCAAGGAATTTTCCCTTGAACAAAGAGAATTAAAGAGGACTTGGCTAAGTAGTTAGGAAATAATGCAACTTAGATCAAGTGGCATTCTTTTTAGCACTGAGAACTTTGCCCTGGAAAAGCCTGGGGATGTGTGGGCCTGTTAGCTTAGGCAAGTTCCCCCAGGGGAGGTTTTTGTGTGATTGTTTCTAGTCACTGACCTGGAAACCTGTTCACACTCTGAACTTCTGAGTGACACCCCTCTGGGAACATATCCAGTCTAAACACATAAAGAGCTCAACAGAGGCAAGGGAACCCAGAGATTCAATGTTTGGTCTGATTCTTTTCTACCAGAGAGGCTGAAAGTAATACAGTTCCCAATTCCAAAGAAATTTATTCTGGGAGAGCCATGGTCAAATACTCTCTCCTTCCTTCTCCCTTCAATACCAAAGATTTTCCCCAAGGACTTTCATATTTTTTCCATTTATTAGCATCATGGTAGCTTCTCTGTGTCACTGCCTGGTAATAATATTTAGACATTAAAGCAATCATGGAGCTCAAAAAAGAGTCTGGAATTAGAATGTTTTATCTTAAATAAGTGGTATCTATCATTGCTAGTCAGCTGTTTCATTTTATGGTACAAATGATATTTACTATGTGACAGATTTTGTGCTAGGTATTGGAACCAAATTGGTGATTTAAACAGTCATAAAGTTCATATTCTCAAAGAATTTATATAGTACAGGAAGAATAAGCCAGACAGATAAACAGGGATTTACTGTATGGTACTGTCAATGTCATGACAAGGGAAGTATAGAGAAAGCTATGGGACTCATAGAAGGGCTCCCGGGTGAAGACTCTGAAGGTTTTAAGGGTTTGCCTACAGAGAAGACTTCTAAGATATGCCCTCAAGGATGAACAGTGGCTAATCAAACAAGTGACCATATGGAAAGACAGTATGGTTGATGAGAGATAGGTTGGCTGTTCAAGGATCTTGGATGATTCAGGTTACTTAGAGCATAAAAGAGAGAGAGAAAGAAGAAACATTGCCAGAAACAAAATAATAAAGGATAATTTAGGCCATGAAGGAAGTAAGTGTTCATTGTTGAAGACAGTGGAGAATAAACAAAAAAGGGTTTTGAACAGAGAAATGATTTTTTAAAAAATTTTTTTCATAGTATCTTATTTTTCAAAGGTCTGCACTATGGAGAAGAAATTGTGTTGAGGGTGAGGCAAGGATAATATTGATTTTGTTTGCTCCATGTATTATACTCCTTTAAATTTTATACTCGAGGTGAGTGCCTTACTCAGCTCACTCAGTCTTAGTCCCTGTTGAGTTATCAAGCCATGGTATGATTGGATATGTGACGTAAGGGGGAAGATAGGATACTGTTGAATACAGGGTTCTGACTTGAACCACAGGCTAGATAATAGGATCACTCACTGAGATAGGATGAACAGATTAAGGCAAATCTGATATCTTTTTTGTTGTTGTTTTGTCTTGTTTTGGCACAAGTTGCATTACAGATGCTCTTGAAAAATCTAAGTACATCACCAAATAGTTATTTGGAAATACTATCTTAGGGCCCAGAGAAAAATAATTGGGTTTTAGACACAGATCTGGATTCATAAGGTGCAGCCAGCAATTAAAACTTGAAAATAGAAAACTCAGAAATAATTAGAGTAAGGTAAAAAGAAGACCTGGGCTCAAACTCTAAAGGCACACCAGCATTTAAAGAATAGGCAGCAAAGAGAAATTCACACATTTGTAATCACACATTTGCACTCTGGCAGAAGAGGCAGGAGGATCATGAGTTATGAGAAGAAGCCTAGGCTGCATAGTGAGTTCCAGGCCAAAGTGGGCTATAAAGAGATATAAAGACAGAAGGAAGGAGAAAAAGAATGGAGAATGGGTAGAAATTGTTCTAGGTTGAATAAAGGAAGCAATGGTAATATAAAAGAGGTAACAGCTGAATTATGCACTCAAGAAAGAAAAATTAATCAAAACTGGTATCATATAAGTTGTGGAGATGGAAAAAAAGGAAACTAAAGATGACTTTTGTCTCTGCTATCCCTTAAGGGTTTCTCAATGAATATCTCTTAACAATTGACCACTATCTTCTCTTGGCTACTCTAAAGTTAGGGAACAAAAGTCAGTTCCCTGTGGTATTTGATGCTGACACACAATATTCTAAATGAGAGACCAAGCACATTGTCTGTGTATCACTGTAGTTGTGTTTACAATGGGAAGCAAGACGTACAGAAAACCACCTCCTGAAGGGAACATCGTGGCTCAAGTGATCAAATGCATATGGGTACGTCCATGAATTGCCTGCCTGCCTGCCTGCCTGCCTTTTTCAACAAAAGGGAATGATGCCATGCTGAACGTGTGATTCTCCACATGTGGTCACATGCTTTTCTCAACCACCTTCCTTCTATGTGCCTACCTTTTGAAAAACTGAGTTTAATTTATTCTCCTTACCTCTACTTGACCATGAAGTTTCAGAAGCAGTGATTTTTTTAATAAGCAAAAATCTCCTGAGTATAGTTGTATTATCAGGCTATAAGGAAAGATAAAAATAACACCTCAGATATTGGGATTCAATGTTTGATGAAATTCAAAGTACTTGTTTGAGGGAAGGGATGATGGACTGGGAAAATAAGGAGATGCTTTCTTTTTATCTATTCCTGATTGTGTTCTCCACCCTAGTTTGCTATCTGCAACCGCTATAGGAACCGTTCTGGGAACATTCCAAAGCGACAGCACTGGCTAGACTGGGCAGCAGAAAAATACCCAGTAAGTGGAAACTGCAGGAATACCTCATAAAACTATAAGATCTTTCTAATCCTTTTCTTCTGGCACATTTGACCTCTTCTTTTACTGTTTTGGACCGTTTCTACTCCAAGTAAGCAAAGCACATTTGGAACCTCTGGCAACTCTCCTGCTCTTTCTTCCTCCCTGCAGAAGCATCTCATTATGGATGTGAAGGCACTGACCAGGATACTGTTCCTTTACATCCCACTGCCCATGTTCTGGGCTCTTTTGGACCAACAGGTAATAGTGATTTTTGGAAGATATGTCTTTTCATCCTCTTTCTTATCACAGGACAAGGAGGTCTCACAACAAAACCTGTCTTCTTTAGGGCTCACGATGGACACTGCAAGCTAACAAAATGAATGGTGATTTGGTGAGTTGGCAAAACTTCCAAAGAAGTCTGTTAAGTTCTTAGTCATACATAATTTGTAATTAATTTAATTTATACATACATAATTTTTTATTTCTACATATTTAATTAATTTATTGGTGATTTTTCTTTTTAAAAAACCGACTTAAGGTCATTAGAGATGTATGTACATTAAGCCCCCAAAACACTGAGTAGGTAAAGATAACCAAAGTTAGGCTAGAAATAAAAATTATAATCTTGTCTTTAGAAATCAGGAGGGAAAAGGGTGGGATGTGCCCAGATACCCCCTATGACATAATGAAAAGATAACAGATGATGTCATGCAGGCCTGGTTGATGATTTTCTTACATTTAAGCCTGTCTTAGATGTACCAAGCGAAAGCTTAAGGGATGGTTCTATACAACCTGCCCCATTCTTTAGGCAAGATCAAGAAAGGGACCCATAGGGCCTGAGGGAAAAGTAATAAAATGTCTCACTTGTGGCTATGGAAAGAGTAAAAAAGTTGTAAACATTATTTTCTCTTTTTTCAATGTCCATTCTTTGGGCCACTCTGTCCTTTGTGGTCCACTCTCTATTCTTAATCATTCCATCTCTCTATTATTATATTGGTAATTTTGAAGAAGACAGGTGGTGTGATAGCAGGAACCTCCAAAATATAATCTTGTCTCTGCCTTCCTCTAGTTGTCCAGGAGTTACCATGGCAATTCTCTTACTGATTCTCACACCTGACTCACCTTCTATTATTACTGCTTCTAACTATGTTGATGATATTCAGTGAAACATCCCAACTCTTATCACTCTCAGGCAAAGTGTGGTTCAGCTTGAACATCCCTAATCCCCAAATTTGTAATCCTAACCGACCCAAAAGACAAAACTACACTTGAGCATTAACATGATATCACAAGTGAAATTTTCCACACCATAAAACTATCACGTACAAATTGTTGCCAGTTATTGAGTAAATTACCTTCAGGCTAGTGTATGAGTCATATATAAAGCATAAATGAATTTCATGTATAAATTTCAGCCTCACTGCTTCTCCCCCAGTTTCCACTATGCACATGCACAATGATTGCAAATCCCAAGCATTTTGGAGAATGAATACTTAACCCAGACACAGAAAACAGTTTTCTCCCAAGGGCCCATCTGCCCTTAGTAAATAGTCAGAGGCCATCCCAAATCTCTCCCCAGCACACATGCCTTTGCCAGAAAACCAGATATCTTGTAATTTTCTTTTATAGACTTCTTATCTGCTATCAAGATAAGATGTACTATCTAGTCTAGGTGGCCATGGCTTTCATTGTCTTCTACTACCATCTAACTATAATTTATTTTGATGTTTTAGGGATTTTTTGTGCTTCAGCCAGACCAGATGCAGGTAAGAAACTTCTCTATAGGCATGGATATGAGTTTCTTATCTCACCTGTACCTTTACCTGTTATTCCGGTTAACAGTCATCATCTGATACATTCCTCACTACATCCCAAATATAGAGATGAAAACAGTTTCTTTGAATCTTATTCTTCTCTTTCACATCCTTTGTTAAGGGTGTAATTCTGCCCAACTCCAGAGAGACTTAGTACGATCCCACAGGTAGAGTGTGAACACTGAATGTTCTTTCTATGCCAAGATAACATAATTGAAAATATTGTTAAAGAAAGTGTATACTTGCCAGTTGTGGTGGCACACACCGGCAGGATTTGCTGAAAGAAAGTGTAAACCTGAGACTAGGGCTATAGCTCAATGGTATAGCACTTGTCTGGCATGCAGGATGTCCTAGGTTCAATGCCCAGTACCTACCAAAACAAGCAAAAAGGAAAGTATAAACTTCCATTGTGTGAGCAACGACGTCAGGATCTCTGCTTACCAATGGAAACTTTCAGGATACTTTTTAGCCCCTTATGATTTCCTTTAGGCTGTGAAACTAAAGACAGGGGACAATGGGAGAGATTGCTTTCTAATTTGACCAACAGTAAAACAGGCTCAGTAAAACTAGTCCCTTGGTATATTTGGTATACACAAGGGATGCAGAGCCTTGTGTTTAAGAGACCAAGAAATGTGGACTCCTAACCTACCAAGGTGAAAGTGAGTAGACTTGAGAGGATGCATGCAAGCAGCTGAGAGCACGATCTCACACTCATGATGGAGGGATGCTCTTATTAATCCTTGTTACCATGGTGTTTCAGGTACTAAATCCCTTTCTGGTTCTTATCTTCATCCCATTGTTTGACCTCATCATTTATCGACTGATCTCCAAGTGCAGAATTAACTTCTCGTAAGTGTTCACCAGGCCATGTATTATTGCATACTGAGTCAGTATTTACTCATTTTTTGTCTTGATTCAAAGCTTGACTGTTTCTATGTAATGACTAGTTTGATTTATCACTTATCTGTTCCTATTTTTCCATGTTTGACAAAATTCTATTAATGTGGAAAAGTGGAAATTAGATCTAACAGTTGATTGTCAATGCCAATGCTACAGACTTGTGTGTATGGTGTTGACAGGGTAGGTCTAGACAAATATGTGATATCAGGTTTCTGAAAAACCATGCTACTTTGCTCTTGAATGTTGCCTCTCCAAAGAAGTACACTTATTTACTTATTTCATGTGTGGTTGGGGGAGGGGTTAATTTGTGTGCCACAGCAAGTGTGTAGGGGTCAGAGGAAAACCTGTGGGAATTTGTTGTTTCCCTTTACCATGGGGGTTCTGGGGATTAAACTCAGGCCATCAGCCTTTATAGAATTATGCTCTGTGCCATCTCTCTGGACCAAGTCCTAAGGATTTTATGACAATTATTTCTTTTAAATGTTTCTGTTCCTGTGAAACTAAGAAAGGACCTTGTAGGACTGGGTACAACATCATTTTTAGTTAGTATGCACCGTAACCTGTCCCGTGCTGAGTAGAGAGTATCATTCCTTGTAAAGGCTGACAAGGATTAGTTCAAGTCTCCTTCCATCTCTGATGTAACAGCAGTCTAGTTGTGACAGTAAAGTAATGACTACTTTACCACATACAAATGCCCTTGTCAGATACTTATTGAGTAAGAAATAGGACCAAGTTCCATGCAAATCCATGTAAAGGTCATGTAAGTCAAGTACACATTTTTAAAAAGGTGTTTGCAGGTTATTAAGGGAACTAGAACTTAGGCAAACATAACTATTATATGGGTAATGTGGTAAATACCCTTGAAAGGGAAGATGGAAATGCCATAGAGGTCAACAAAGACTTCTGAAGAAGAAAATGAGTTTAATTACAGAAGTTGATGTACATTAAATAACAAACCTGATTATATTGCTATTATCCTTAATGTTATGACACAATGGCTAAAAGTCATCATAATCATAAGTAGAAGTGGGAAAACTGGTATGTTATAGAGAAGAGATGTTAACTGGGACTTGAGTAAAAGGGTATTCAAAGGAGAATTCTAGAAAATACTTTACAAAGTAATTAGAATTAATTGAAGTCTTTATAGAAAGGCTAAGGAGTCTGGGGTTTGTAGCTTGAAGTAAGGGATAGATATAATGATCTCTCCTTTCCCTCCACAGCTCACTTAGGAAAATGACTGTTGGTATGATCCTAGCATCCCTGGCATTTGCAGTTGCAGGACTTGTAGAGATAAAGATAAATGTGAGTTCAATAAATGTTAAGCTCTAAATCACTCTTCTTCCATGTTCAATCTCAACTCCTTGGGACTCACCAAAGTATTCATTTCACTGGACAGTCATTTTAAATATTTAAGTGAATAGAGCAACAATGCAAAAGGAGGCCCATGTTCTACCTGAATAATTTAAGGGTTATCTTCAGGAAATTCCACAACACAAATACCCAACATATCATGGGAACAAAGGCTTATCTGATGCCTTTGAAGCTATGCAAATAATCCTGGCCATCAAATAGCCACTATTAGTGAATGTCTGTAAGACCACAACTGAAGGGGTGTGTTTGTTACCTACCATCAGTGCTTGCTTCATGGAACTGGGGTTTTCCACGATTTAAAAAAAAAAAAAAAATCGTCATTTCATATTTCCAAGCCAACTGTTCTTCAGAGGGATAGGCTTGTAAATCTTGTCTAGAAGGGCTAATCTGTCAAAGATAAGACTAAGATATGTGTTCTTGTATCTAAAGATTATTTGTTGATAATTCGAACAACTATTGTCTGTCTTTCAGGGAATGACCCATCCCCAGCCAGCTTCCCAAGAGATTTTCTTACAAGTCCTGAACCTGGCACATGGTGACATAAAGGTGACAGTACTAGGAAGGAGAAATAACTCTCTCTTGGTGGAATCTGTCAACTCTTTTCAGGTGAGGTACGGGCCCAAGTGAATGAGAAACTGTATATGACATTAATCATATGATCTTATAATTGTTTTCTTATGCCCTTCAATAATCTCTGATAATGTTATTTTAGTGGTTGCATAATATTCTAGCCCTTAAATATAGTTCATTTAAGCATTTTCTTGTAGCTATCCAAGTTGGGTTTTGTTGTCATTCTTGTTTTTAGCAATACTGGGGTTTGAACCTAGGGCATCAGGCATGCAGTGCAAGCACTCTTCCATTTAGCTACAGTTACAAACCTACAAGGTTTTTATTATTTTTGTTTATTTATTTTATGTGTGTGGATGCTCTGCCTGCATGTATGTCTGTGTATCATGTATGTGCCTGGTACCTGAAGAGGTCAGAAGGTGTCCCTCCTTGGAGGAGGTGAAGGGAAAAAAGGGCCACTTCCTATTTCTCCTTGGTTAAATATGAGTCTCCTTGCTATGTCACTTCCTGCCTGGATCACCACTTCTCTACTACATTTCCCAGAATCCACTTTGACTCCTAGTCCCATCTAACTTGCTGTCTCATTGGCCAAACAAGTACTTTATTTAATAATCAACAAGATAAACATACAAAGAAGTACATTCCCCATCAGAAGAGGAGATCACATCTCCTGAGACTGCAGTTACAAATGGTTGTGAGCCGTCATGTGGGTGCTAAAAATTGAACCCAGGCTGTCTGAAAAAGTAGCCAGTGTTTTTAACCACTTAGCCATCTCTTCAGCCCTGCTCCTGCATTTGTTATTATGCATAGTGGTCTAATTAACTACTCTACCCTTCTTTATGTATACTTATATGTCCCATTTCAGGGTCCTAAAAATGAAATAACTCAATTAGAGAAAGAAGTAACACATCCTGAGGCTATGAAATTTGATGTCCACACTGGGGTTAAACGTGATTATAAGAGGTTCTTCATTCTGCAGAATACAACACACTATTCCAAATTACACCTGGAAACAAAAATCCAAGATTTACATTTTCATCTGAAGTATAACAACTTGTCTGTCTACAATGAGAATTCTGTAGAGGAGAAGAACTGTTACCACTTGGTTGTTCATGAGGATGAAGGAAGTATCTCCAGTGTGCTGGTATGTAAGAGAACTGCACAAGTTCTGTTTTGAAGTAAGATGGCTGAGTCATCAGAAACTTACCAAGGAGCTGCCTGGAAATGGAATGTTCTGATTATAGGTTTCCATTTGTCAGCTCCCACTGAGTTTTTCTTTTCTCTGTTGCAGGTAAAGGATATAGGAATCAAACCAGACAACAGGATGACAGCCATCAGGTTTGGGTGTTGGGGACTTCAGATGAAGAAGCCTCACATTTTACTTGTTCTGAGCTGGGTTGTTTCCCTCTTAGGAAGTCTGGGGCTCTGGTGTCTGTGGTATTTCTTATGGCAGTGAAAGTCAAATGAGCATGCTTCTTCCCATAGGACTGGCAGATCACCCTGAATCAGTGGATATCCTTTGTTCTCTGCCATGAGTTTTTCTACCTAATATTAGCCATTTATCTTGCTCTCAGCCAAGTAACTTTGTAAATTTCAGTGTTCACGAGATAAACGTTCAGAAGTGAGCAAATATTCCTACTATCATTTTCGGTAGTTGGCTATCTATCCTGTAAAATATAGGTTTCTATTATAAACTGACAGAGGAATCAAAAGAGTTGGATTTTAATCCAGGCAGAGAAGACTGGAGGTCTTGTCAGATGGCATGAGACAGATAGTGGGGTGCTCACCTACTCTCTGTGACTGAATTAGATGTAAAACAGAGAAATGATGGCATCAAGATCAGGCGGTTATTGTTAAATATAGAGGAGAGACTAGGGAGAAAAGTCCAAATTCACTGAAAAGTAAAATACACATAAAAACTTGTTCTTGAAATGCTTCAAAAAGGACAAACCACCCAATGTAAGTTAGACAAGAAGGGGCAGCAGGGATCGACTTTTCTGAATAAATGAAGACCTGGGAATTAACTGTTAGAATATTAGAAGGAACATCCCTTCTTATCCCTAGAGCAAGACCATGATTAAAATTAATAAAACATAAATGTACCAAAATCCCATTCTGAGGGGGCTTCCATTTAGAATACTAAAAAGAAGGTTCCAGAAGGGCCCAAGATTCCTGAAGACGGGAATATAGTGATGATACCTTCTCTGGGCTGGGTCCCTAAATTTTGCATGAGGCAAACTAGACTCCATTTATAAGAAGATAACCAGTTTCTATAAAATGTCCTATCTTTATATATACTCATATTTCTAATTTTTATCTCAGCTGAAAAATTTCATCATTAAAAGGGAAAAATGGCTGGGGAGGTAGCTAGGATGTGCAAGTGTGATGATTCAAGTTCAAGCCCCAGACCCCATGTAAAACCCTGAGTGTGGTGAGATGAATTTGTAATCCCAGCATGAGGGAGGCTTGACTGGCCAGCAGCCTAGTCTAAAAAGTGATCCCCAGCTCTCAGTGACAGTTGCAGCCTCAGACCACAAGGTGGGTGGCTATTCTGAGAAACAACATCTGTGGTTGACTTCAGCCCCCCCATTCATGTGCACATGCATGTACATCTGCATACATACATACATACATACATACATACATACATACATACATACAGAGAGAGAGAGAGAGAGAGAGAGAGAAGAGGGGGAGGGAGGGACAGGGAGAGAGAGGGAGGGTAAGAGGGAGGGAAGGGGGTAGACACACATACAGTAAAAAAGAAAGAAATCAGGTATTTCTAAACTATATTAGAAAGGAAAGTCAGATTGCCTTGTGTGACTGTGGTAGTGTCCATCTTGTTGGCCATCTGGTGTCAGTGATCAAGTTAAGACTCCAGAAAAGTCAGATTTGTCTAGACTAAGTTAAGGCTAGTGGCTACTTCTTAATTAAAGTTCCTTTGTTTGTTTGTTCCCGCCCCAGCCACTAGTTTATGTACTTAGAATACAGTTATGAGTGACACAGTGTCAGGTGTCCTTGTTTGGATATTTTTGTCTGATGTGTAAATAATTTGTCTACCCTCAGGTTTATTAACACCTTGCATAAAGACATCAATATCTCCCTGGATGCAGATGTTCCTCTCAGTGTGGGCAAAGACTATGGAATGTCTGCATACAAAACTGTGCTAAGAGGAGAGTAAGAGCTTTGCCCTTGTGGACATTTTACTTTTACCAGAACCATCTTTTTTCAAATACTATTTTCGTAATTAGGTGATGAGCACAGGCATCTCTGTGCTAATTTGGAGTACAGGAACATTTCTGCTTCTCTTTAATTCTTGCCTCCTTCTCCCTGGCTCATCTTCTTTCCACATTGCTAGGCTGAGATGGTGATAAGTGTGCTGATCAAACTGTGTAGTTAATGAGTACATGCAGCTCAAAAAGTTTACTGTGGATTTTAGTTCCTGATTTCTGGTACCTCATCATTTACAGCACTGGTTCTCAACTGATTCTGTGACCATTCAATACAGTTTCTCATGGGGTGGTGACCCCCCCAACCATAAAATTATTTTCATTGCTACTTCATAACTATAAGTTTGCTACTGTTATGAATCTCAGATGTAAATACCTGAGATGCAGGATGTCTGATATGTGACCCCCAAAGGGGTTGTGAACCATAGGTTGAGAACTACTGCTTAGAGTTTTCCTCTCACGTTCTCTGTTTTATACTATTCTGCTAAGTCATAAGATTTACATGAAGAAAGTTCACAGGCAGGCATGAAATGTACAAAAGTTGACCTGTACAGTCTTTCTTCATGGTTGGGATTTTAAAAATGTACTTGTCAGGCAATATAGAGTACAGATCCAAGGCAAAAAGCTGGCCCTAAAGTGTCCTAGAAGTGTCTATTTTCAAAGACACATGACTTAGCTATTTTCCTCGTTAGAGGTGAAATCTCTCTTCCCTGGAGATGGGAATGTTTTCCTAAGTCATGCTATTTATTCTGACACAATCTCATCTTGTTGCAGGTACCCTGCAGTGCACTTTAAGACAGAAGACAGAGACTTTTTCCTCAATTTAGGTCTACTAGACTTTGGTACAACCTACCTGTTTGTGATCACTAATGTAAGTAGCTTACAGCCACCAAACCTTTCTTCTGTCTGCTTGTCTGCCTGCCTATCTGTCTATGCCTCCTTTTTCACACACACACACACACACACACACACACACACACACACATTGGGGTCTTCTTGGTGAGGACACAATGCAAATGAGAAAAGCCTATAGCAAGACATAATTACATGCTTCTTTCTGGTCCAGTATCATTCTTTCCACCACTGTGACAAACATCTGATAGAAAGAGGTAGAAAGGCAGAAAAATTGATCTTGGCTCATGGTTTCAGACATTTTGGTCTATAGTTGGATGACTCTATGGAAGTCTATGGAAGAAACATCATGGCGGAAGGACATGGTAGAGAAAAGGTGCCAGAAATGCCATGGTGACCACGAAGCAGAGAGAGTGGTAGGGAAAGGGATCAGGGACAAGATATGCCCTTCAAAGATAAGCCCTCATCGACTCACTTCCTCAACACCTATGGAGGGCCTCACCTTCCAGTTTCCACCACCTCCCAAATGCCCATTCAGGATTTAAATCCTTCAGTCAGTTAATTCATTGATTAGGTCAGAGCTCCCATGATCTAACGGTACCCTTGAGCACCACCTCTGAATATTACACTGGGGATCAAGCCTTTAAACCATGAGTCTTTGGGAGCATATTTCATATGGAAATGGAAATCCTCCTGCTGTAGTTTTAGAAATCCCACAATCTCTGCAGGGGATAGCAAAAGAGATAACACCAGAAGCAGGTAAAGGGTGTTGGGAATGGAGACATGACATGTCCCAAGCTATCATTATGTAATATCATGGTCAGCACCAGTACCATTACAGCTTTAAGAAGCCAAATATTGTTATGGGAAATTACTTGTTTGTAGTTTGCTTTTTTTCTGACTTGATATATAGGCATAGTGGCACACACATCACACACACACACACACACACACACACACACACACACACACACACACACACACACACACCTTTAATCCCAGCACTCAAAAGGCAGAGGCAGGTAAATCTCTGTGAGTTCGAGGCCACCCTGGTCTATGCAGGAAGCTCAAGATTAACCAGGACTAAATAGTGAGACACTGTCTCAAACAAACAAACAGTAATTTTCTCAGTAACTAGAGCAGAGAACTTTTGAGTCCTAATTTAAATTTTTTTTCTTTTTTTGTGTGTGTATGAGTATTTTGCTTGCATGTATGTATGTTCACCACATGCATGCCTGATGCCTGTGGAGGCCAGAAGAGGGCAGAAGATTTCAATTAATTTTTGTACATAAGGATAATTTGTTAAAGTCTCATTCTACTCTTTCATACACAGAGACATATAATTCATATAATAATTCATATATATGAATTGTCTCTAGTCATCTCAGTGCGAGTTTTTTGAAAAGACTGCACACTAAATTGTAATGATGCTCTTGTTGAAAATCAATTGACCATAAAATGTTTTATTTGTAGCTTCTCAACTCTGTTCCATTGATCTACATATTCATTCTGTGTTAATTTCACATGTGTTTTTGTTTCCTGTTGATTTGCAATCTATTTTTATTCAAAAGAATGTCAGTTTCCACATATTCTCCTTCTTTTCTTTTTCAAGCTTGGTTTTGAGGCTGGGGATGTAATCCAGTATTATAGCATATGCCTAGCATGTGCAAGGCTGCCTTCCATCCCTAGACAAAAAGAAAAAGATCAATTATTCTGTGTGACACAAATTCCATACAAAGTGAGGATTAGCTAGGATTAGAAGCCAGATGAGATTTTAATGGAGATTGTACCTACTCTGAAGATTATTTGAGGGGCCAATTGCAATCTGAATAATGTCCAGTGAATAAGAAACGCCTATCCATTTATTTAGGTATCTATTCTTTCAACCATGTTTTGAAGTTTTCAGGGTATATCTTTTACATTTACTTTATTACATTTATTCCCAATTACTTTATCATTTTTATTATTTCTTAATTTCATTTTCCTAGTGGTTATTATAAGTCACAAAACTAATTTTGTGTATTAATCTGTGTATATTATTATGAACTCTTATTGAGCTAATTTGTCAGACCAAATATAACTTTAGTGGAGTCCTTAAACTTTCCACATATGAGGTCATGTCATCTGCAAATAGAGACAGCTTCACTTTCTTTTCAGTCTAAATGCTTATTATTTCTTTTTCCTGCCCAGTTGCTCTGGCATAGTATTGGTCAAAAATGATGAGACCAGACATCTCTTGCAGGAAGGGCATCCAGTCTTACCACTAAGAAAGTTACCTGTAGAGTTTTAAGTAGATGCCCTTTATCAGATTGAGGACATCTCTGTCTACTACTTTTTGTCTACCTACTTCCTTGCTTGTCTATTTTACCTCATATGTATGAGGTTGGATTTTGTTAAACGCTTTTTCTGAATTCATTTTAAAAACAGTGTGAATTTTGTCCTTTATCCCATTGATACCCTGTGCAACATTAGTTGATTTTCAAATAATAAACCAATAAAGGCCTATTGCTTTTATAGGGCTTCTGTGACAAACCAACATAAGCAAGGGGACTTACAAAACACAGGCTTAGTGTTTTGTATATATGTGGGCTTCCAGTCTGAGTTCAAAATGTTTGTAAGGCTAGTTCATTCTGAGAGCTCTGAGGAAGACTTGTCTATGTCTTTCCTATAGCTATTCATGACTTTCTGGAAATTTGGTGTTTCTTGGTGTATAATACTACCAGCTTGTTGTCTACCTGTATCTTCATATAGCACTTTTCTTGTATGCTTTCTATCTATATTTCCCCCTTTCTATATAAGTATACCTACCACATTCAATTAGCCCATCTCAATGACCCCATTTCACTTAACTAATTACATCCATAAGCACCCTATTCCCAAATCAGCTTACATTCTCAAATACTGGATATTATAGCTTCAACACTTGAGTTTTGGGGACACAATTTGACTTGGAAAAGTTGTATTCCTTGTGTTATTTCAGTCTTTTCTTATCCTGTCTCTCTAAATGTTTCTGAATCCCAACATTTATTAGGCTTCTGAAATAGAAGTCATAAATTGAAGGTTGTGGAACCCAGTTCCTTCCATAGTCCTATCTTGTTTGGCTTACACAGTGTTGGCAAAAATAATAAAAGAATCAATGGCTAATGTTTAGAATTCAGATACTTTACCTAAGAATTTGTATTGTTTATATTGTAACAGTGCCAGAAGCTCCTATGACAGATATCACTATGTCAAGTGACTGGCTCTGCCCTCTGATGGTTCAGTTCAGCAAAGCCCTTATCATTTCCACTCAGCATGTTTCATTTCCACTCAGCAACTTAATTACTTGCCTTAGAGCCCTTGAATATCTGACTTTTAGAGGCTCTTTTAGTCTGCTCTTATATTGAACATGCACACACACATAACAAACACATACACCATACACACAGCATGTATACATATTCACACACACCACATACACACCCCCATACACACAAACACACCACACACACACACACACACACACACACACACACACGTGCACACAGAGAGAAAGAGAGAAGGGGGAGATTCCTAGAAAGTATATACATTCTCAACTAAAGAATAAAACAGGATTCCTTTACTTCACTATTTTGGAACTAACTCCCTTTGGACTTAGAGCCAAAAGAATTTGGACATCAAAGACTTTCAATCTTAGAGATTTTTACTATAACTGATGGAAGTCAGGGAAATGAATGTAGTGTTACCAAGAGAAAAATTCAAAACAATGGAATTGTATAGATATGTCTAATCTTTTGAAGGTAGCAGAGAAATGAAAAGGAAGGAATGGATATAGATCATAGGATGCTATATAGTTAGGTATATATGCTTAAGATGACTGAGAAGTCCAATTCCTGTTTCTCCCACTCTAAGATCACCAATCAGGGTCTTCAGACTTGGAAGACAGAAGAAATTTCAGCCAATAAACTATCCATTGCATGGCAGCTACCACAATATATCCTGGTCACAGCAGCAGAGGTCATGTTCTCCATCACAGGACTTGAATTTTCTTATTCTCAGGTAATATTTTTACAAGCAGAAGTGGTGACACTACTTAGAAAATAGTGAGTTTTAATTCTCATACTTTTCAAATAGGCATATTACCCTAAGACCTCCATCTCTTTGGTTCATGAGTTCCTTACATATGACCTTGAACAGTCATCTTAATTTCCAGGATAATGAGAATGCAGGATTTGACTCTATGTTGTTTGGGCTCTGGAGAAAAAAAATAAGGATGAAGACTGAGAGATACAGGGCTAGACTACTCATGTTCTATGACCTATTTTGGAATAGTAACAAGTAAATTATGTCTCTAATCCTGCTTTGCTTCCTTTTCTTTATGTTCTTTTTACTTTTCTTATTTTTCAGAGTACCATTTTAGCTCTCAAGGCTTTGATAATAATTGTATGATATAATAAATTAAAACACCTAATCAATGGATCCACTTTCTTCTTACTGCTATATTATTACCATCTCATGAGCCAATGTGACAGATGAACTTAGTGGAGAAGATGGGAAATGGAAGTTTTTTGGGACATGTTTCATGGGTAGGCTCATGGGGCAGGAAGGTGGAATAGGGAATTTGAATGTTTACAAATGTATCCTTCCTAGGCACCATCTAGCATGAAATCTGTACTCCAGGCAGCCTGGCTATTGACAGTTGCAGTTGGGAATGTCATTGTGCTTGTTGTGGCACAGTTCAGTGGCCTGGTACAGGTAAGGATCTGAGGAGAACAGGAACTCAGGTCGACACCAAGTTTCCCCTCCAACTTCATCTCCCTTTTGCTTAGCCTCCAGGTTCCCCTTCAGTGATACGAGGGTAAGATAACAGCAAATAGATATATGTGTGTGGCAATAATGACCACCATGTACCTATGGGAGAAGAGGCCAGTGAACCTAACGTTCTACCAAGAGAAGTGCCTCAAGTGATGATTTCCTTAGTCATCTTCCCATCCTTCCGCTGCTAAATCCACCCCTGCCCCCCACCACACACACACACACACACACACACACACACACACACCTTTTGGGTTTCTTCATAATTTCCTCTTTGATTTATCTCCCTGCAGTGGGCTGAATTCATTTTGTTTTCCTGCCTCCTGCTGGCCGTCTGCCTGATCTTCTCCATCATGGGCTACTACTATGTCCCTCTAACGTCAGAGCGTGTTCACAAGCCAATGGATAAGCAGGTTCCTCATACCCAGGGGAGTATGCTCAACCTAGAAACCAAGAATACAAGGCTCTGATGACTCACTGGACTCATAACTGATTCCCGGCTCTGGTTTCTGCCATCACTTATCTTCAAACTTATTTCCCCCATCTCCAGGTTAGGAGAAGGAGATGGCATTTTATCTGGGTGGATCTTCTCCATTTTCTACCACGACAGAGGCAATTCTAGGACTAGGTTTTCAGGTGTATCTTTAAGCAAGAATCTGATAGACACAGAACAATAAGCTCACTAAACATTAGGCAATGTCTCTCAAGCTGGCCCAGTATCTCCAAATGGCCATGCAAATACAAATGGGTAATAGAGATAAGTCTCTGTGGGTATGCCAAGTTTAGGAGACTCCCTTATCAGGTATTTAGAACTGATGACTTCACTTGTTGATGTGTTGGTTTGGAAGGGAAAACGCAGAGTAATAGAGGAATGGTATTTCAAGTTTCTCTATTAGTAGTATAATTGTGCTATTCATGAAGATGTCAAGAAAGGTATGTATGGAATGATCTAATCCACAGGCTAGCTTGTCAGCCTCTAGAGAGTTTAATATGATTTTAGGTGACAGATTATAGAATGGCATTTTATCAGCACATGGAAGATACATCTTTCTGATTACCACAGCATTTCATCTACTTATCCAAACACTGCTTTCTCAGTACTGACAAACCAAAACTAAAGACAGTAAGTACAAATGTGGGGACACAGGAACACATAGAAATTATTCTTTGTTCTTTAGTGCACATTCCTCTAAAGAACTCCAGTGTTTCTGCCCTGGGCTGTGTGCTTCTGAAGACGTCTGTCTAAGAAACTAACTCTAACTCTGCACCCAGCCTGTTCAGTATTGCTGGCGCAGCTTTATCTTATTACATCTTATTTTGCTTATTACAGCAAATCTCCAGTAACAAAATGTTTTTCTAGTCCAACTTCCTCTAATTTGTTTTCTATTTAGCTTCTTGTGATGTATTCTTAGTTTTTCCATAATTTATGTTTACATTTCTCCCTTTAGTCTTAGAAATTTCCTGTTTATTAAAAGGGGATGATTCTTCTGTCTTAAGTTTGAAGCTCTAAATGGTATTCAACAAATGGGCAGGGAGAAACCTATCAAAATCTGCCAGGGTGGGCAGAGCATGTAGACTCTCTGTGTGTGTTTGTGAACAAAAAGAGTCAGGAAACAATATCTCACATGCAATGTACGGGTCAAGGGACAAGATTGGGAAGATCAGTATCAGGACTGTGTCATGTGTCCCTAAGAGAGAAGGATCACAACCCTATATGAAAGACCTCTTTTCCACTCCTGTTACTACATTGCTCCCATCTGCAGCCATGCTGGATCACATCTTATTAATAATGTAATATGAACTTAAGAGAATTTGCTCCAGTTCCTCAAGCTTTAAATACTGTAGTTTTAATGACTAAGATTTCAGAAGCACAGGAGTCACAACACCATCCATTTTCCCTAGATATCTTGTTGTGTACCTGTCCATACTCCTTTAGAAGATGCTCATTTTTAAGCCACTTTAGCTCAAACTATTTTTTATGAGTTTTGTTTTAAGAGATGTTAACACTGATTTGTGAATAAAAGTTTTTATGTACAAGTAAATTTGGGAAATGAGATATATTATAATTTTCTAAATATTATATTTTTGTGTTAAAGAGTCTGGATATCCTCAGGGAAGTTATAATGCCCCTGAATTACCTTAACATGTGGTAGTTTCTTCAGAACACTGGTTTCAGAAGGACCTTTATGCTGGTTAATGGCTTTACCCACAAAGCTTCCTGCTCAGTGGTAGAACACTTGCTAGTGTGCACAAGGTCCTGGATCTGATCCCCAGCACCACAAGAGAGTAGACAAACTAACGACTGTCTTAAGACACTGATTCTGTCCTTTGTTTCAAGCAAGGATAAGCACAGCTTTCTCTTTTGGGTCTTTGGTGTGTTTGGGAGAGCACACTTTTATAAATTCCCTATGATCATCAAGCTAAATGTTCTCGGTTCTTGTGACATTCCTCACAAAGCACAGCTCTGTCTTTCACCACGACAGCTTCTTTCTTCCAAAAATAATCCTTTGTCTAAATATAGCAATTAACATATGTGATGCCTAGAAGCAGCTACAACATTCCAGAAGTCCTCTGACTGGCAAGCTTAGCACCATCCACTAAACAAAGCATTTTTGTTAAACCAGGTAAGGTAATATTTGATGTTTTTTAAAATTATATCACAGTGTGAGATTACTTCAAAGTTTTTAAAAAGAATGCTATTATTCATATTTTGAGTTCTTCCATTGCCATTCATTGAATTAGCTGAGGGAGAAACAAAAAATTAACAGCCCACTATATCTATTCTCAAATCTTGTCTGATGACTGGTAAGCTCTTGGTAAATAGATCCTTAGGCAAGCAATGATGCAATGAGATAGAGAAATAAACAGCTCCCTAAGAGTAGAATACAAGAGATAGAAGACTCATTTAGAGGAATCTAGGGACCAAATCCTGTGGGGCCTTGAGACCATGGGGGTTGGAGAGATGGCTCAGTGGGTAAAGTATTTGTTGTGCTAACATGAGGACCTGAGTTTGGATTCCCAGTACCCACATAAATGCTGGGCATGACAACACAATGCTAGAAGTGAGACAGGCAGAAGATCCCAAGGGCTTCACTGGCCAACTGGTCTAGCCAAAATAGAGAAATTCCGGTTCAGTGATGAATGTAAAGAGTGATAGATGAAGACATACAATGTTTTCTACATGTGTGAGCTCACATACACACATTCCTTTATTGTTTTACGATCGTGTGTGTGTGTGTGTGTGTGTGTGTGTGTGTGTGTGAGAGTGTGTGTCTGTGTGTCTGTGTGTATGTGTAGAAAGAAGCCAGAAGAGGATGTTGGGTGTAGTGAGATACCCACCCCGCTCATACCTGTAACACTGACCACGCCCATTTGGGTGCGGTCACAGGTGCAGACCTGATGGAGGGCAGGACTAGATCTTGGATCTGGGGTCCCAGACCAGAGCGCTCTCTCTTGTTTCCATTCGGGTCACAGAGGACAGCCTGACTGGATCCTTGGGGCTGGAACCTGCGGTAGTTACCGACCTCTTGTGTAAGTGCATTCTCCCCGAATAAACTTCACTTAGCCTGTACTGAGTCTAGTGAATCTTGATCCCCACACTATAGTTGGGTGTCCCTTTTCATCACTCTCCACTTTATTCCCTTGAGTCAGGGTCTCTCACTAAACCTAGAGAGAGACTGGTGGCCAGTAAGCCCCAGGAATCCTCCCATCTCTGTCCCCACTCCACAACCAGGGGATACAGGCATGCACATGAATATGGCTGGCTTTTTACATGGGTTCTAGGGATTTGAACTCAGATTCCTGTGCTTGCACACTAACCATGCTTAACCACTGAGACATCTCCTAAGCCCCCAATTCCCCTTTTGAATAAAGTGTAATAAAACATAAAAACCTCCAAAGCTTTACATTTATAATTCAAAATCAACATCAGATCAGTACTAGATTAAAAAATGTTTATAAACAAAAGAACAACAGCAGCAAAAAGCACATGAACAGAGAACTTTAAGCCCAGACAGGGAATGACAAATTACTCCATCTCAAATGCTGGTCCCAACTGCTTCCTAATGGCTTCTTGGAGAACTCTGTTGTAGTGATTCTGAGGCTTTGTACAAACTCAGCAGGACAAAACATAACAAATGGACACACTGAGGACAGGGAAGTGGACTGTCCTGGTTATGCTCAACTATTTTTAACTTCTTCCTACATCCTCCAGCTACTTCCACTCAGCTACAACAGCTATTTATCATTTCCCCAAAACACTATGCAATTCCTCTCACTACAAATCTCACTGTTTTTGTAATTCCTTTCTTTCATTGTCTACACGCCTCTTGCCTGAACTTCCTTAAATGAGACTCTTCTCCTTAACATATCCTAACCACTCATACCACTTTGGAGTGTGTGCCAACCTCCTTTGCTTTAGAAATGCTATGTGTATATACTACATGTTGTGTGAGTCTTCACTTCTCAAATTGGGCAATAAACTTGTTAAAAACAGTGAAAAAGATATTAAGTCACATGCAGTTTTGTAATTTGACCAACAAGTGACTCACAGATGGGAGAATTTCTCTTCCTTATAAAAGTAAGGTGTATCCAGGAGAAGCTGGAAAGGTGTGCCATCTGGGTACCACACCTATCTTTGTGTGCTTGTAAGAACTGACCTGTGCCAAAGACTCACCAAGAGCCCAGTTAGCAGGACAGTAACCTGAGCCTGGGGACTCCACCTGCACAGTATATGAATTTCTAGACTATTCCAGCTACTGTCTAAAGACACTTTCAAACTCAAAGACACTTCAACCATCCAGCCTCTTCAGACTTCTTAGCTTTGTGTCACCTGACATTGTCCGGGATTCACCTGACAGTCTTCTCCTGGATCACAAGCACTTACTACATTCCTTTTAGTTCAGCTGTGGCAGAGAACACCACTGATACTGACTCAGGTAAGGGCTATTGCTCTGCTGAAGTGTTCTTGTTTCACTTGAAAATCTACCTTTGTGGCAAAAGTAAGCCACTGGACAAGAAAGTGCTCTTGCCGCAACTGTTGACAGTGTGCTGTCCAAATTCCAGGCAAGCTTTATTAAATCATAAGGCATATATCACCACAATCCACATTGAACAAATTACAGAAACTCTTAGAGACTGTGAGTCACTGGAAGTCAGCCCAAGCAAACATTTGTTTTCTGAAACCCCAAGTAAAGGTGGCTACATGTAACTTCTCCCTTTGACTGAAGTTATTTTAGTGTATAGCTGACTCCAACTATTAGTAATTACTGTTTAATTCTGTATTTCTCCAAAGTGTGTACCAAGATACTAGGGAACACTGTGATAATACCAGGCACATTTTTCATTTTTAAAACAGCAAAATTAATTGTGCATTATATAAACCACTATCTCAAAAGAGTTAGCAGTTTTAACATTAAGTAAGGTTATTTTCCTGTCAATGATTCATCATTACAGACCTGGTGTTTTGTTGCTTGCTATGATAAAAAGCAAGGACCAAACAAAACAAATCAATGTCTGGCTCATTCCCCACG